GATTCTCCAGAGTTCAAGTTACTTATTATAAAAGTTTGAAATTTCTGGTAGCTTTTTTTCTGTTAATAAAAATAAATTTAATCTGTTCGGTTAACGAATCTCCATAAAATGACGTGTAAAATTACAATTTTTTAAAATTTCAATAACTTTTTAACGGTTTAGTGAATCGATTTGTAATTTTTAACAGGAGTTTTAGAATTGAGTGAGGAACGTTCTTCCAAATTTTTATTTGTCTCGTAGCATTGTGACATACCTCCCAAACATCCTTAACGATGTATTCAATAAAATTGGTCATGCCCATGTCTTAGTTGTGCCCAGAGGATTCTTTACCATTATCTATTAGTAATTATTCTTTTTCAGTTTTATTTTTAAATGTTGTAGGTATTCACTGTTTATGTATTAATATATCAATATTAATTATATATTTGCAGCTTCTTATATAGGTAATGGTGTTTGTTGGCTCCTTCATATCGTTAATTTTATACGAAAAATGCAATAAGAAGATGCAAATTGTTAACAAAATACATATTTATTCATAATAATAGAGAATTTGTTAAAATTGTAGTTATCAACAAAGAAGTCAAGTTTGTGTGATCTGAGAGACAAAGCAAAATATTATTAGGTATGTTGTACTGAATATGTAATATAACTACAAATATTGTACATTAATTTCCTATTTAAATTTTGATTGTTAAATTAACATATACTTACAAATCAGATTTACAATATTTTAGATATTTTTTCTCTATATTGCTAGACCCAATTCACTGCTTCAGTCAGCATATATATCAGGGCTCAGAATTACATTCGAATTATTTGAAAAAATATTTGACATTTAAATATTCGAATATTCATACATTTGATTATTAAAATTCTATTTTTTGTCAATGGTAGAATACCTTTTCAGAGATGAAAGGTTAAGGAGTTAAGAGGAGTAGAGGTGGATCTAGATTAGATTACTCTTCACAAATCGTCAAGGATGTGGTATGTTTTGGCTTTAGGAAAATGCGAAGATTAGTTCAGGATATGAAAGAGTGGAGGTGCGTGTACAACCAANTATTTGAATAACTACTTCAATATGAAAAATTCATACCACTAGTTTTAATTGATTTTTCAGTATGTGAAAACATTAGTAAAATTTCACTGATATGATCCAGACCATGAGATGTCTATTATTTGAAAAAAGACCTTCATTTTTGTAAGTAATTGTTATTAATTAGATCAGACACTACCTGTACATGAGGAGGAGAGAAACGATTTTTAAATACCAATTGTACGTTTTTCGATTTTGTTGGATTTAAAACATTAACCAGATAGTCTATGAACTGATCCCTTGTAATTTTATCTTCTTCGGTTTTATCAATTTCTTTGAACAGACATACTGCTTCAACAGAGTGTAAATGATTTCCTAGAAAAGTAAAAAGGAAACGTTTTAACAGGCATCGTAATATGTATGGGTATTCAGATTAGATAAAAGTACGTAACAAGGTCCAAAAAATTCTGGTGATACAAAATCTTAATATCATTTAATTAGCGAACTAGTTTTGATTTATCCACAAAAAATGTTGTTACATCAGGTAAAGTGATAAAGTTAACGTTTGCATGTTGAATATGGGTACTCTTCGCCTTTATATTCCTTATTTCACTGTAAATGAGCGAAACAATTTCTTTTGATTGAAAAAGAATCATGACCAGGGCGACCCTCCGGGGCCATTTTGACGAAAGCATTAAATTCGTGAAAGAAAAAGTACTGGAAGGCAGACGTAATACTTAAAATCATGTAGGAACATTTCCGCATGAATTACAGTCAGTGTTTACAATTTCGTTCTGCCGTTCGAAAACATGAAAGAGTGAAGATTAACAGAAAGAACCAGATTCGTTTGTTACAAGTGATGAAACTATGAATCTTTACCATGATATCCTATCAAAAAAAAAAAGCGGACCTATAAGGGTCCCGTTTTTTATTCGGACGTAAGGAACCTTAAAAACAAATCAGTGGGGTGGTATCGTCTGAGATCACTGCGACCAGTAAAACCAAAGGTAACTCAATCTCAGAGAAAAATTACTATACTTCGTTTAGTTTCTGCAGCGATGTTACCTTCAGTTTGACCGGCGCAAACTAGAAAAGAAGAGCACTAGACCAGAAAAGAAAGGAGACAACTCTCGGCCAAACTCTTAACCGATGAGGAGCGTATAATCCGTACAGTACTGCACGGAAAAAATGACCATTTTATTCACTACAATTGCATTGCTCAAATGTGCTGTTATTGGTACCAATTACTACTGAAAATATCAACGAGATGTTTATTTATATTTGAAGACATATTAAAGGCTTTAACGCTTGTTTTCGACTCGAACTATTATTCATAATTGAACAAAACTTTTGGCAGGTACTGTATGAAAAAGTATGTTTAATGAACGAGAGTCGAGAGTATAATGAGCTTTTTTCTCCCTACCTACGATTTTGCCAGCGCGCATCCAAGACATTGGAAGGAGCACATCGCTAGAGAAAGTAATTGAAGTATCACATTAAGTCCCGTTCAAAATGTCGTTTAAGCACTAAACCAATGAAATTTTAATCCTTAGTGGGCGGATTTTCAATGAGATGTTTGAGTTGAGACCGTTAAAACAAGCATATGTTTAGAAACACTAAAAGTCTACAAGGCGACAAAATCGTACCAATAAGTTAATCAAAACCTGATATAGTCGGGACGATCAAAATTGGCAAAAAAATCCGTTTGTTTCCACTTGGCACTGGTGGTCATTTACTGCGTTTTGAACACGCCCGTGTTAAATTAGGAAATGCTTCATGAATAGTACAGACAAAGTGAAAAGAGATAACAGAATAATAGTAAGCGATGCAGCAGTTAGAGGTTGGTTAGATATGCCAAATATCAGAGTTAGCTTTATAACTGCCTGGCTGGAATTATATCTTTCAACAAGCGTCATTGCTTTCCTAAATTCCTAAGGATGTTAAACTTTCTCCGATGCTGGCAACATGCTCAAATTCTCACCTGTCTGCATCTTTTTCTGTTACTCATTAATTGGTGTCATGTTATTCCTTTTTGTTTATTAGTGTTCGCTGCAATTCCTACCTGACATCTCCTTTCTATGTTTACGATATGCGACAATTTTATTGCGGACTATGTCAATTCTGAACGGCGAAACTATATATCTACAAGCGACAGAAATAGTAATAGTTCGGCCATACCGATGCATTCTTGTTCACGAAAAAGAGTAAATACAAGAACTATATCGAAATAATAATACAATTTTAATTACCAATTTTCAATAGGTAGGCTTTTTATTATTCTTATTAAATTATTATTGTTGGTGTTTTTTTTTTCTCTGGTAGAATTACCCTGTGAGATATGCGGCGTCATTATCCGGTACGCGACCGGAATTTACAAAACATTAATATCTGTTTTTTTTACTACTTTTTTACTCGTCTATCATTTATTGCGGACATCGTTTTCCCAAATATATAAACATCTGGTATCTAAGTTGTGTTTTCTTCCGGGCTTTTTGGCCGTGGTCCGTGGAATCTTGCTTTTCCAAACGTTTCGCCGTTCTTTGCTGACGGCATCTTCAGTGGTGACTGAGCCCCTGCCACCACGGCCAAAAAGCCCGGAAGAAAACACAGCATCGATATACTCCGGCCGTGAAAGTCTAAGAACATCTGGCATATTTTGTATGAATATCTAAAAGTATACAAAATATTTTAAATGAAAAATTACCGAATATTAAATCAACTGCATCAATGAACTCATCTTTCGTCAGTTCGTTATTTCTTCCATCAAATACGTTCAAAATTTCTTGTAACTGCGTTGTGTTTAGCCTGGCAATTAGGCAGTTCTTTGATGTGTAGCATTCATCATTCATGGAATCTATACTATTTGTTAAAAAAAATGGTTTTAAAAATTAATCGGCGAGATACTTAATTTTTGAAAGTTCATGTATTATGAAATATGGTTTATAATTTAAACACACAGATGATTTTAAGTGTAAAACGGATTTAATTACCCATTTTCGCTATACAGTAGCTTCATCAGGTGATACAAATAAAAATGTATGTTATATACAGGGTGCTTTCTAAACATGTTCAATTTTAAAAAACTCAGGGGGTTATTTTTGAGGTATTTATATGAAGAAAAGTTCATACCGTTCCAGTTATTCTTTCCACTCGTCCGTTGTATTCATCATCATCATAAGGTCGTCAGTCCTAAGACTTGTTGGACACATACCTCCACTCTTTCCTATTCTGAGCTAAACTTCGCATTTCCCTAAAACTAGAACAACCCACATCCTTAGCTATTTGCGAACAGTAATCTAAGCTAGGTCTACCTCTACCCCTCCTAACTCGTGTTTCTGCTTTTAATATGTCTCTGACTAGACTTTCATGCCTGAGAAGGTGTCCTACCAACCTATCTCGCCTATTTTCTACTGACTTCCCTAGAGTCCTCTGTTTTCCTATTCTTTCCAATACCTCTTCATTTCTAACCTTTTCTACCCACATTATCCTCACCATTCGTTAAACCTTTTTTTCGACTTTGAATATTCAATGCTCAATTCATAAATATTTCATAAAAGCTTAATTTGTTCTGTCGCTTCTGTTCTTAAATAGACCACCAAGTTCTACATCTCTGGATATTGCAATAGTGTATGGTGCATTTATATTACTTTCTTTATAACGTTAATTAACAATTATACTCCTTTTCAAATTATTTAAGATTAACATATCTAACCCTTCACTGCATCATAATGTATTATCTAACGTTTTCGCGAAGTATAATATGTAATAGCAAATTAATCACATTTAAGTGCTTTGATAACTTACATTTTAGTTAGTGATTTTTCTACACTATTTTTATCATTATAAAGTGCGACGTTTTGTCGTTAGTCCCTACGTTTTGTCGGCATACGTTTTAGGACAAATGCGTATAGATGTTTTCTTCATAAAAATATATTTGAATTTTTGCGGCATGTTTAGTATCCACTCTGTATATAATTAATTAGTTACTTCGAAAAGGTGTTATACCAATTTTATTTCCTGAATGCAGAAATTATAAAAATTAATAGTAGGTACAGTATGGCAAAATTAACATTAGTATTTTTTTATAGTGCAACCAAAAAAGAAAATGAACATAAATTATCTACTTTCATTATTTCGCATTATTAAAATTGCTGGAAGTTATTAAATAAACTGAGTTATTTTCTCAAAGAAAAATGTGAAAGTACTTGTACCTACCTGCATATAATGTGTTGTGTAATTGATTAAAATGAAGTTAGTACAGATATTACAAACTTTTATAAAAATTCTTTATGACAAACATTGCTTTACCTGGAAGACTGGGACAAAGAAGGGAATGACTTTAGTGACATTCTTATTCTTCATATATTGTAGAAATTTCACAAAATTTAAGACCTGCATATGTGCGTACAGTGTTTATTACTATTTCCAACATATTGATTAAACAAACTTAAATACAATTTAATTAAGATGGTAATTAGTTTTTTCTATTTAATAGGTAGTTTTAAATAAAAAAATTGATGTACAAGTATATATAAGTTACATAAAGCTGTATTTTTAATATTTATATGTGGTAAAAATAAATTTTCATGAAGATTGAGGACGTTCAGGAAACTTTTCTGTGTATGTCGCATGGTCTGCTAATATTGGATAGGTGGCGCAGACAGTTTGAGTCTAGCTCAGGGGTGACTGATTTCTGTATTACCTATATGAAAATTGAAAAATTTGTTGTGATGTACTTCCTTAGTCCTTACAATATGTAATAATGAAGAAATGGTATTAAATCAATCATATTTTATTAATAATATTTACACATTAACCATTAGTTGGTCGCGTCTAATTCTTAATTAATTAATTTTAAATATGAAAGTAGGGAAAGGGCGAATATAAAGATAGGAGACGAAAAATTAGAAAAAGTGGCTGATTTTAGATACCTAGGAAGTCAGATAAGTCAGAATGGAAGGAGTAGTAGGGATATAAAGCAGAGGATAGTGCAGGGTCGTGTCGCCTTTAATAAAAAGAAATCACTTCTGTGCTCACGAACGGTTAATCTAGAAATTCGAAAAAGGTTGTTAAAGGTGTATCTTTGGAGCACGGCATTGTACGGGTGCGAAACATGGACAGTGGGCGCGGCGAAAAAGAAAAGGTTACAAGCGTTCGAAATGTGGTGTTATAGGCGGATGATGAGGATATCGTGGGTAGAAAAGGTTAGCAATGAAGAGGTATTGGAAAGAATAGGAGAACAGAGGACTCTATGGATGTCAATAAAAAATAGGCAAGGTAGGTTGGTAGAACACCTTCTTAGGCATGAAGGTCTAGTCAGAGACATATTAGAGGCAGAAACAGGAGTTAGGAGGGGTAGAGGTAGACCTAGATTAGATTACTCTTCGCAAATAGTTAAGGATGTGGG